TGAAGGGCATCCATAGAAACATAGGATGCTGTCCCGTACTGAGTCATCTCTGGAGATTCTTGGTTGTTCCTTGAGATTGCCCTCCAAATACTAATTAGGAAGGCTCACCTTCCTTAACTTCTAAAATCAGACCTCATTAGATGTGTTCAGGGTGGTACAATGGTATATGAATTCGCTCGTGTGGGTGAAAGTAAAAGGGCATGCCCAAAGGACATTAGTAAAGTAGGTGCTAAGCCTGGTTGTAATTCTCTGAGGATTCCAGACATTGAGTATCAGGATCGTTTCTGTCTGAACAGCCCTGTCCACTTCTAGAGCCCCATACAAGACTGTTTTTCCAGATCAAAATTGAGTGTAATTAATTGTTAGAAGGGTGGATTGGAGTTTCAGGACTTGGCTTATATAGACAGGAAGACAGATGTAGTGTGCGTTGTGAGGATTGTCTATTTCTACTTCAAAATAACCTATTTTATGTATCAGGATGTTCTGGTACATAAGCATTTTCCTTTTTTCTCTAATCAGATGAAGCATTAAATACACAGAGCGCTCCCAAGCACCGCAGTGATTGAGTCATCAAAATAAGAGCGTTCTGGTCTGGAAAGAGCTCGGCAGGATTATCAATAAAAACACAGGGTTAGAGCAGAGGCTGATCCCGAAGGCTAGGCACTAGAACCCTAATAATAGTGATAGTGTTGCAACAGCAAAGGTTGGATTCTTTCTGAACTTTTGAGGAGCTGAGAGTCAGGATCACATACCCGGCCAATGTCTCTACCTCTCCTTTACAAGTAAGTTCTTCAAGGGGCAGTGCTTGTGAACAGGCAGCCAGAAATCTAGAACCATCCACAGTATTAGACCCAGCCCTTCCTTGTCTGCTGTTGTCAATTCAAAGGGGCAGAAGGTTTCCAGCAGCTCAGATGAAGATCATTCTTCATCCAGCTACCTAAGATCTTTGGTATCTTTGGATCTTTGCTGTGCACCAAAGATCTAGCCTTCCTCTCTCTGTAGGAAAGCTGAGGAAAGCTATGGAAAGCCGAGTGCTAAGTCTTCAGTACAGGAGGTGCTTTTTTGTATTACTGGGCCTAGAACGATTCCCTTTTTTTGGACAACAACTTGCAAGGCTGGGAAAATTCTGAGAGTTGTACTCCAAAAACAAACCAACCCCTCTTCATGCTCTACCTGTTCTAACAAGCCAAGCAGCCCCTCAAAATAGAAAAAAGAAAAGAAAAGCACACGAAACATGCACTTATAAAGACAGCCATTATTTTATACTCTTCAGATTCGAAAGTGAGTCACAATCTGTATCTATTTGGTGAATTTATTTATTTATTTATTTATTTGATTTATATCCCGCCCATCTAGTATAATTATTTTGAAGGCGGTTCAAAAGTTCAAAGTGAATTTGCCTGTGAGAAGATTCAGGAAGCATCTTTGTGAAGGTTTTTTTGGGAATTGCAATCCAAGAACATCTGAGTTACCCAAGGTTGGGGACCACTTGTCTAGAACCTTGCACGCCCATTGTGCAAACACTGTGTAATTAGGACAGAAAGTCACAGCTTGACTGCCCCAAATAAACCTTGGATTGGTTCAAGACCTGTTGAAAAAAGAGGGAGTCCAAAAAAGCAACTCTTCAAAGTTCTGCACTTGCGATAAAAAAAGGGCAGGTCTACTTATAGCAAATTATCCTAAGTCCCAGTGATTTCAATCAGTCTGCTGTGACTGTGGTTGAGTCTGGATCCAGGCTATTGGTTTAGATTTGGGTGCACACTTAGGCACATGACAGTGGACTAAGTAGAATTAGGCCTTCCTGCTGAGATAGATTCCTCAGCCTACCAAAATGCTGCGCAATGGAGCTCTGATGTATGGGGTGAGTTGGGCTATATTTGGGGAAGGGGAGATCCCCTGTAATAGCCACCCTGGGACCTAGTAACTACCTTGGCTTCCAGCTCTGGGAAGAAAGGCAGGATGTCAGAAAAATTAAATAAAATAAAATGCATGTATCTTCCAGAAGGAGAGCCCTCTTATTCAGAGATGGCAGGCCCTATTTTCAAGACATATTACATTTAGGCACATAATGTTAAAGTGGCAGAGCACAGATACTGCTAGCTCAACCTCTACTGCATAGGAATCTGTAGACCGATGAACGCTTCATGAATGAGTTTCTCCCCCTGGTCAAGACCTTGAAACCGCTGGTAGAAGTCACGTCTCATAGCAGGAAAATCTGTCAATTAATAATGTGAAATAGTATTTTAGTCTGTCTGTCCAGAACCTGCTTCTGTCAGTTTCACTGACTGACCATCCTCTCCAGATTCTAGTCATGTTAGGATCAGAAAAATCCACTCCACTTCATGACTGATTTTATAAAC